AACCGAAACTGTGCATATATGCATTATTTCGGTTTTTTTCGTATGCATTATTTCGGTTTTTTTCATATGCATTATTTCGTATGCACAGTTTCCATATGCACAATTTCAGGGTGCCATTTTTTAATGAGAGCGTCAAGGCAGGCGAAACAGTGTTGGAATTTCTAATGCAATTGTACTTTTTTGATACAATTTCGTTCAGAATATACTTTCCTACTATGCACAGTTTTGCGATGAATACTAAATATATGTAGCTCTGAAAATTCACAGTGGGAATTTTTTGTATTCTCTTTTAGTTTTGATCTTTTCGAATTTGCCTTTATAAATTTTGAAAAAGTGTTTAAAATGCCTTGCACGAACTATTATAACGTGGCATAGTGTGCTATCAGCTTCCCATTCCAAGGCAAAGTTTGAAAAAATGGTTTTGATACTAAATCTTAAAACAAAATATCGAAATCAGCTTCATATAGAAGAATATCTTCATTAATTAAAACAGGAGATTTTTTTTAAATACACTATATATTTATTATCATAAGGTAAGGTAAAACCGTTCTCTCAATTCGTCGGCCATGATTTTTTGTGAAGTTTGTCAACATTTTAAAATCATATAAAATTGAGAGTAGAAAAAGGAATTGTTCAAAGTTGTTGTTCTTTGAGATTGAAGATAAGAATGTGTGTGTGAGTTTGTCTGTAAAATTTTAAAATTAAATTGCTTGCAAACATCAAGAATTTGAAAAATTCCTCTCAGCGGTTCTACCTTCTTATCATCATATGATCATAACCAAGGTGTATTAAACAAGATGTGATTGACAACTCAGGTATGCTCTCTTTTAAAGTACTATGCCAAAAAATATAAACAATCGATTCAAAATTCATAAAAATTTGTTTCAATTTGACTTTATAGGATTGTTCTCCTGAGAGCAATGTCGAATTCAATCACACTTTGTTGAATACATTTTGATCATAACTACGAAAAATACAAATTGGACAAGATTTGGCCTTTTTTTAATTTTTAAATTTTTTCTTTAACGAAAGCTGTATAATTTAGAATTTAAATTTTGTGCAACCCTTAAAAAAAATCAGCAAGCTTTTGTAAAAATTTCGAGCTTATTTAAATTTTGAGAAATATTTTGAGTATGCAGTTTTGTACCCCATTCAATTTTATTATAAAAAACTGTAAGTTTAAAGAGGCTGGGACTTACCGTTGTTTTTTGGATTTTGTTTTACGATGTCAGTCATTTTCTTCCATATGAATTATGTTCGACGATGTTTTATATGGAGCAAATGATTAACACCTTCAACAAAAAAATCTTAAAACTCGATGATAAGTCGCAGCTACTGTAAGCTTGCACTTTGTTATATTAAAATTGAATAAATAGGCTACAAAACTGCATATTTAATCTATTTCTAGGACATTTAATTAAAAAGCTCAACATTTTTAGAAATAATTGTTGATTTTTTTTAGGGTTGCTCAAAGAACGGATCTTTTTTTATAAACAAATAATTAAAATTAAATAATTTTTATTGAGCTTTGTACCACGATTGATTAGTAGGAAAAATTTAAAAATCAACAAAGTCTAAGCAGTAGAAGTTATAGCAGCTATTTCGGAGATAACCACATCTCCCCATCTGACTTCTTTTTTCTAGACTTCAGCAGGGATCGAACCTGCGTAATCGATGTTCAAAGTCAGAAGCGTTAACCACTGAGCTATGTACACCACGTAAACTCTTGTTCCTAATTCATTCTCCTTATGCAACCAACTACTATCAAGTGCAGCTGATTTGCCGCTATTTAAACTCGACAGCGTGGTTGTTGTCAATTCTATACATCTATTTGCTTTATTGCAGAGGTTCCCAAACTTTTTTTTCTCTTAGAACCCTTTCATAAATTTACTGGTTTCGGTGGACCCTCTGCTGATACATCTCTAAATATTCCCAAAGTTCTATATGCAAGAATTTATTTAATCGACCTTTAGTTATAGATGTTTTTTCTGGTTTCTTTTCGAGCCTGAGGTCAAGTTTTTATTTCGGCTCTCAACGAAAGCCATCTTCAGGGACTCTAAATACAAAAACACTTAGAATACAACAAATTTCAACAAAAAGGGGGCAAATCGACTTACATTAAAAGAAAAAAGAAAAACTTAAAAGCAAAACTAACATAAAACACAAAAGACCAAAGAAAATATAAATTATTTTTGCGTAGATGATTTCATCCTATGCTGTCAAGTGGCTGGACTTCGACTGATTTTGGTTTGTATTCTTTTTGTTTTATCGATCAGGTGTCTGTAAGCATGAGCGACGTTCTCTGTGTCCGTTTTGTAATTTATTCTTAATTCTGTCAGTGTGTTAGTTATATGTAGCTTTTCTATCGTCAGTCTCTTGTTGTAATTGCTCTCCTTTTGCAATATGCTAACGTTATCAAAATTTGGATAATGTGAGAGTTCTGCACAGTGGGCCGACAGTGCTGTTTGTTGTGTGTTTCCATTATTGCGCGATCTAAGATTTGATTTGTGTCCACTAATCCTAGTTTTTAAATTATTTTTTGTCGTTCCAACGTAGATTTTTTCACATTTGTTTTGCGTATTTCCATTACATGTTATGCTATATATTACATTATTTTGGTCCATTTTGTCAATTTTGCTTTTTGTGTTGCTGTATAGTTTTTTAAGTGTATTGTCCATTCTGTATGCAATTTTATATTTTTCTTTGTCATAGAATTTAATTTTTGCCATTCTGTCTGCCACTTTTGGCACGTAGGTCATCGACTTCCATATTTTTGGCTGTTCTTTGTTGTCCTTGTTATGATTATGTTGTCCATAGTATTTATGTAGTAGCTTTTTGATGGCCTGTTGTGGAAAACTATTCATGGTTAGTATTTTGGAGATGATTTCGTTGTTACTTCTGTGAAATATTGGGTCGCTTATTGTGAGTACTCGTCTGATAAAGTTGTATGCCGTGTTGAATATCATGTTTTTTGGATGTTTTGAAAAATAGTTCAGTAGTCGTCCGGACGCAGTGGGTTTTTGGTACCAATTTATTTTAATTACGTTGTTAGTCCTTGTGAGTTGAGCATCTAAGTACGGTAATCGGTTCTCATGTTCTTCTTCCTTCGTGAATTTAATATTTTTGTGATAGCTGTTCAATGCTTCTAGTGTTACGTCCACCTGGTCCTTTTTGATGATGGCAAATATATCGTCAACATATTTGGTTATTAGCCTAGGTTTGGTTGTCAATTTTTTCATACATTCGTCCAGTAGGTCCTCCATCATTATGTCTGCAATTATTGGTGAAAGTGGCGATCCCATAGGTAGTCCTTTTTGTTGCGTGTAGACTCGATCCTTATATTTGAAGTAACGGGTGTCCTTTATGCAAAATTTCAGGCTGTTTATGAAAAATTCCTTCTTCCATTTGGTAGATTCTTCTATATCGTCCCATTTATGTTCGATGATCCTGAGAGCGTAGTCCACAGGTACGCTTGGAAACAGAGAGACTACATCGAAGGATATCATTATCTCGTCGTCGTATATTGGTGTGTCTGATATTTTATTTCTGAAAACTATGGAGTCTTTAACGTTGTATACAGATTTTTCTGTAAGTTTTTTTAGCGTGTTTGCCAGGAATTTGCATAACTTATTGGCAGGTGCGTCTATATTTGAGCAGATAGGTCTTAGTGGTGTATCCTGTTTGTGGACTTTCGGTAGTCCATAAATGCGGGGGGCTCTTGCAGTTGTTGATTTCAATTTGTACTTTTCGCTATTGTTGATGATGTTCTGTGTCGCCATTTTGTCTATGATATCGTTGGATTTTTTTAGTAGTGTTGCCGTTGGATCCTTCAATGTTCTTTTATATGTCATCATATCATTAACGATGTTTTTCATTTTTTTGTCGTAATCCTCTTCGTCCATCGCTACAGTGACATTTCCTTTGTCCGCATCCAAAATTAGTATATTTTTATTTTGGTTAAAAAATTTTTGAGTTCGCTCCGCTGTCCTTTTTATGAATTTTTCAGTTTTGTCCCACGGTCTTTTGTTTATTTCATTGGAATTTTTCATGAACAGCCTGAAATTTTGCATAAAGGACACCCGTTACTTCAAATATAAGGATCGAGTCTACACGCAACAAAAAGGACTACCTATGGGATCGCCACTTTCACCAATAATTGCAGACATAATGATGGAGGACCTACTGGACGAATGTATGAAAAAATTGACAACCAAACCTAGGCTAATAACCAAATATGTTGACGATATATTTGCCATCATCAAAAAGGACCAGGTGGACGTAACACTAGAAGCATTGAACAGCTATCACAAAAATATTAAATTCACGAAGGAAGAAGAACATGAAAACCGATTACCGTACTTAGATGCTCAACTCACAAGGACTAACAACGTAATTAAAATAAATTGGTACCAAAAACCCACTGCGTCCGGACGACTACTGAACTATTTTTCAAAACATCCAAAAAACATGATATTCAACACGGCATACAACTTTATCAGACGAGTACTCACAATAAGCGACCCAATATTTCACAGAAGTAACAACGAAATCATCTCCAAAATACTAACCATGAATAGTTTTCCACAACAGGCCATCAAAAAGCTACTACATAAATACTATGGACAACATAATCATAACAAGGACAACAAAGAACAGCCAAAAATATGGAAGTCGATGACCTACGTGCCAAAAGTGGCAGACAGAATGGCAAAAATTAAATTCTATGACAAAGAAAAATATAAAATTGCATACAGAATGGACAATACACTTAAAAAACTATACAGCAACACAAAAAGCAAAATTGACAAAATGGACCAAAATAATGTAATATATAGCATAACATGTAATGGAAATACGCAAAACAAATGTGAAAAAATCTACGTTGGAACGACAAAAAATAATTTAAAAACTAGGATTAGTGGACACAAATCAAATCTTAGATCGCGCAATAATGGAAACACACAACAAACAGCACTGTCGGCCCACTGTGCAGAACTCTCACATTATCCAAATTTTGATAACGTTAGCATATTGCAAAAGGAGAGCAATTACAACAAGAGACTGACGATAGAAATGCTACATATAACTAACACACCGACAGAATTAAGAATAAATTACAAAACGGACACAGAGAACGTCGCTCATGCTTACAGACACCTGATCGATAAAACAAAAAGAATACAAACCAAAATCAGTCGAAGTCCAGCCACTTGACAGCATAGGATGAAATCATCTACGCAAAAATAATTTATATTTTCTTTGGTCTTTTGTGTTTTATGTTAGTTTTGCTTTTAAGTTTTTCTTTTTTCTTTTAATGTAAGTCGATTTGCCCCCTTTTTGTTGAAATTTGTTGTATTCTAAGTGTTTTTGTATTTAGAGTCCCTGAAGATGGCTTTCGTTGAGAGCCGAAATATCGGACACTTGTAAAAAAAAAAATAAAAACTTGACCTCAGGCTCGAAAAGAAACCAGAAAAAACATTCCCAAAGTTCGTAAAAAAAATTAAATGTGAAAATTAGATCAAATCATGTAAATTTGGATCGCGGGTGAATTCAAAAACTAAACCCAGAGTGGCTAAAATAAAAGTAAAATATTTTCTTGTGTTCTATTTATAAAAAGAATGTGATTACACACTTGTAGGTTTTAAAAAATAGAGCACTCAAATACTTCAAAATACTCTCTCGCTCGGAAGAGTTATATTTTTTAAGAGCACTGCGAGCGCTAGCTATATTTACATTGTTTTAAAAAATAGAGCACTCAAATACTTCAAAATACTCTCTCGCTCGGAAGAGTTATATTTTTTAAGAGCACTGCGAGCGCTAGCTATATTTACATTGTTTTAAAAAATAGAGCACTCAAATACTTCAAAATACTCTCTCGCTCGGAAGAGTTATATTTTTTAAGAGCACTGCGAGCGCTAGCTATATTTACATTGTTTTAAAAAATAGAGCACTCAAATACTTCAAAATACTCTCTCGCTCGGAAGAGTTATATTTTTTAAGAGCACTGCGAGCGCTAGCTATATTTACATTGTCTTCACCACAAACTCATCAAATGTTCGGCTCACTCATAACTTTGCACGTGGAGTATATGTAAAATAGTTTATTTGTGTTAATGGCATCATTTTTATTTTTATCGCTCCGAGTTTTAAAATGAGGCGAAACATATTTTTTCACGTTTTTAAAACACAAAACTTAAAACATCAAAACGGCTAAGCTTTTTACGCCAAACTTTTCAGAAACTGATTATAGAGAAAGGAACGAGTTAAAAAAAATCGATGACAAATAACTAATCAAGCAAGAAGCACAAAAAGTGTTCCACCGTCTCATCTTCTTCCAGGCAAGATGGGTAAATGGACTTGTCATTTACGCCTATCACAATCAGGTGTTTGTGCCACGTGAAGTGACCAGTCAGCAGTCCAGCAAGTTGTCTGTTCAGTGAGAGCAAAAAATTAGATAGACCTTGTGAGATTAAAGGCAATTTGCCCACATACCTTCTGAGCGAAGTATTCACCCAGTTTCTGATGGTGGCTTCGATTGCCGAAGGTGGGAGTGCTAAAACTGGTTGAGGACCGAGGAATGCCTGGTCTGAGCCAACTCTGGCCAAATGATGAGATGTCTCATAACCGGGTACTCCAGAGTAACCTGGCACCCAGAGTAAAACAACCACGTTAGGTTCACCATCATTTTTTAGTCGAGACTTGCATTGCCGAACTAGTTTGGAAGTAATTAAATAGAGGGCCTTAAGTGCAGCTTGGTTGTCACTGCGGTTACGTAAACTCCTTCCCCTCCACCTATGTTCCACCACGAAGTCCATGGCTTTGAATATTGCAATTACCTCAGCCTGGAAGACCGAAGCATATTCCTCTACAGAAAAGTGGATCTTATCTCCATTAACCTAGAAAAAGACCACAGATCGAGACCCAGAGTCAGTTTTAGAATCAAACCAGCACTCAGGCTCAGGGAACTCAACATTATAGAATTCTTCAACAAAGATAATGGTACTATCCTGTGGTATAGAAAAAACACAAGTGCTTAAATCTCTGCCGCCAGAATACCAGCGTCCAGGTCTTTTTAGTCTGCCTCTAAGGCTTCCCCACGTATGAAAACACAAAGTGACGGTAAGTGCAGCAGTGCGTCAAGAGCAGTGAAATAAAAAGGCTATCAAGCAATCGCTTTGGTTCTTTACATCGAAACCAGATAAATTTACAACTCATGGACCCCCATATTTTGTTCACGTCACCGCGGACCCCCGTGGAGTCTACCGTGGACCACCGGGGGTCCACCTGGACCACTTTGGGAATCACTGCTTTATTGTATAGTTTCAGGCAGGCTCTTCTTAAACTATGTATTTGTCAATGTTATTGCGGCTTATTAATTTTTAATATTTTTATTGAGCTTTGTACCACGATTGTTTATTAGGAAAAATTTAGAGAGCAACAAAGTCTAAGGGGTAGAAGTTATTGCATCTATATCGGAGATCACCACATCTCCTCATCAGACTTCTTTTTTATAGACTTCAGCAGAGATCGAACCTGCATAATCGATGTTCAAAGTCAGAAGCGTTAACCACTGAGCTATGTACACCCCGCAAACCCCCGCATTCCCACGACAGCCGGTTCTACGTACCGGAATGACTCGGGTTTTACCCGACCAAGGGCTGTTGTTTCGGCGATCTAACCCCGTTTAGGTCGGCGAAGTATCTCAGAAGTTGTTCGTCCATAGGGCTACATTCGCTACGTTTTCTCCTACTCAGGGCTGGCATCGAGTCAAACCCAGGACCAGAAACCTACACCTGCTGTGTATGCCAGAGACGACTACACCACAACTCCACCTCTGTCAAGTGCAATGCTTGCGAGGGGTGGTGTCACCTCAGAGTCTGCTCAGGACTACGGACACATCGGCAGTGGACCACGTCGTATGTGGCCCCCTGTTGCTCAAACAGCAGCCTCCATGGCAAACCTCAGTCCACCAGAGCAGCCTCCACGGCAAACCTCGGTCCACCAGAGCAGCCTCACACAGTCACCACAGCACAGGAACATAATAACACCACAGACCATACCA